GACCCTGAATGGGACATAGAGACAGGTCCCCCAACACTAGAAGAAGTTGAGAAAGCGGTAGGTAGCCTGAAACGGGGAAGGGCAGCAGGACCAGACGGACTACCTGCTGAGGTATACAAGAATGGTGGTAGAGTTCTCTTAGTCAGGCTAACGGAAGTGTTAGCCAGTATATGGGAATCAAATACGATCCCCTCCGACTGGTCTAAGTCACTCATCATCCCAGTCTTCAAGAAAGGCGAGAAGTCCTCTTGTGATAACCACAGAGGAATCAGCCTGACAAACATAGTGTCTAAGATCCTAAGTTCTATAATTCTCCGACGCCTGAGTGGAGCTCGGGAACAGCAAGCCCGAGAAAACCAGGCAGGCTTTAGACCTGGCCGTGGATGTATCGACCAAATATTCACACTGCGCCAGGTCCTGGAACATAGGCATGCTTACAGACGCCCGACAATAGCTGTATTTCTCGACCTGAAGGCGGCATTTGACTCCGTTGATCGAGAAGTCTTATGGCAGTGTCTGTCACTGAAAGGCGTGCCTAGTAAGTACATCACCTTATTGAAAGCTCTCTACTCGAACACTTGTGGGCATGTTAGAGCCTATGGTGAGTTGTCCAGGGAGCTATACTCATCAAGTGGTGTCCGTCAAGGATGCCCACTATCCCCATTCTTATTTAATTTTATCATAGATATTCTTATGGAGGTTTCCCTCTCGTCACCTAATTACAAAGACGTTGACCGGATCACAGGTGAATTTTCCTTAGATCTAGAATATGCAGATGACATAGTCCTGTTAGGTGAAGACGCTGACAAGATGCAGAGTCTTCTGAACACTTTGAGTGGGAATTTGAGAATGTTTGGGATGCGATTTTCACCACCCAAATGCAAATTTTTGCTCCAGGACTGGTCTTCAGCGGTACCGCGGTTAACAATAGAGAGTGAAGTGGTTGAGTGTGTTGACCACTTCACTTACCTGGGAAGTAGGATCAACCCGGTGGGTTAGTTGCCGATGAGATTTCTGCACGGATACAAAAGGCTCGATTGGCTTTTGCCAATTTGCGCCACCTATGGCGCCGCCGTGATATTCGTTTGTCTATTAAGGGTCGCGTGTACTGCACAGCAGTCCGCTCTGTTCTACTGTATGGCTGTGAAACATGGCCATTGAAAGTGGAAGAACAAAAAGGGTTCAGGTGTTTGACCACCGTTGCCTTCGTAGTATAGGACGTATTCCGTGGTGTCACCATGTGAGTAATGCAGAAGTTAGGTGTAGAGTTTTAGGGAGAAGAGGTAAGTCAGTCGACGAGGTTGTGAACCTTCATCGACTGAGATGGTTGGGACACGTACTACGTATGCCTAGTCACCGATTGCCTCGTCACACAATGTTGGCTGAGGTGGGTTCAGGCTGGAAAAAGGCCCGAGGTGGCCAGACTAAAACATGGCACCAATGTATGAAGTCTCTGACTGTTGGTTTAAGCCATGTAGGACGATGCAGACTAGGTGGTTGGGGTCCACGGGACAAGAGGAACCAGTGGTTGGAGACCCTAGGTGATATGGCTCAGAACCGAAGTCAGTGGCGCAGATGTATACACACATTATCCTCATCTTAACAACGCTATACCGAATCTCACTATTTTGTCACTCCTCTTTCCTTTCTTCTCGTACTTTATATTTCTTTTGACTGCATTCACTTATCTTCATCCTTCACCTCACTACCTTTTTACTTGATGTGCTGATATGAGGTGTGGCAACTCGGACCGTTACGCAGTAATGCCTGGTCCTATGTTGATAATGATGCCTTGAATAAGGTTATATACTTATTCGGGACGCCTTTCAGTCAGAGACATTACCATGAGGTTTCCCGACCAATTGATTCGAATGCCGCCTATAGATCGAGAAATACGGCTAGTCTCGGGCGTCGGTAAGCGTGCCTGTGTTCCAGAACCTGTCGCAGTGTGAACATTTGGTCGGTACACTCGCGGCCGGGTCTAGAGCCTACGTGTTTTTTCGGGCTTGCTATCCTCGAGTTCCACTCAGGCGTCGGAGAATTATGGAACTTAGAATTTTAGATACTATGTTTGTCTCTCTGATTCCTCTGTGGTTATCACAGGAGGACTTCTCGCCTCTCTTGAAGATTGAAATACTCAGTGATTTAGACCAGTCAGAGGGGATCGTATTTGACTCCTAAATACTAGTTAACACTTCCGTCGACCTGACTAAGAACACTCTACCACCACCCTTGTATACCTCAGGAGTTAGTCCGTATGTCTTTCCCCGTTCCAAGTTACCTACAGCTTTCTTGACTTATGCAAGTGTTAGGGGCTTACCTCAATGTTTTTATTTAGGATTCGAGTGCACAGCACGCAAAGCAATGGTGACTGGAGGCCAGTTAAACTGTTCCTCGAAGTGTTCTGCCCATCGTCTTCCCTGCGAGTCAATCGCAGATCCGTCATTCCCCCCTTACAGTCTCATTAACCGTTGTTGACCTTTCTCACCCAGTCTCCTTAATAAGTCTAAATAAACGTCTACTGTTACAAATCCCTGCAGCCTTTTCCATCTCTTTAGTATTCGCTGCCCTCCATTGTTGGCTGTCGTCGCGTAGACTTTTTCTCTATCTACTTTTAAGTTGCACTCGCTATTCACTGTATTCAGAGCCTGCAGGGATGCGTTCACGTGCATACATTAGTTTGGAAGAAGATGCTGATATCCACTGTCTCTTTTTAGCCACTATTTCAGAGTCGGCTACGGTCTTAAACACTGCTTTTACAGCAGACTGGAGGTGGCATCAAGTTTCTTCTGGGTGAGTGGTGGTGTTCTGTTCCGGTAATTGTCAAGGCCAATTTTTCACTGAACACGGCTTTGATGTTTTCGTTGTCGAGCTGCACTCGTAATGGTTTTGTTGCCAAATTTTTCCTACGTCCATTGAGATACAGGCATATATGTGCTCGGACCAACACGTGACCGCTGTCCAAATACGTACTCCAGAAGGAGCGGCAGCCTTCCGCCGATCCTTTCTAGCGACAACTAATAGCAATGTGGTCTATCTGTCAATCTCGGAGTTGAGGTCGGTGGACGCCAGGTCAGACAGTGCCTTTCTTTATGTCTGAAATTTGTGCTCCTTAAAAATAAGCGGTTATCTGAGCACAGTCGTGGTAGGCGATCACCGTTATCTGTTCGTTCAGCCGGGTTTCCGAAAGTGCCTTTCTGCCTCAGTCTACCCACCTGTGCACTGAAATCACCTGCAATAACTGCCGTCTGAGTGTTTGGCTTTCGAAAGGAGGCTAGACAGTTTTCGGTAGAACTCGTCCTTCACTTCGTCCGAACTGCAGTCAGTGGGTGCGTAAGCAGAGATTACAAAGACTGTGGCGGGTTTCACTATTCCTTTTAGTTCTCACCGAGCCGTTCAGTCGGATAGCGCAGAGATGACTATCAACTGGGATCCAGTCTAGTAGTGAGTTTTCTGCTCTAGTGCTTAATGCTATGCCTACACATGCAAGACCGCGAGAGCGAGCCATCGAATCTCCAGAAACTCGAAGAGTGAACTTTGAGGATGCATTAGATTGGCCGGGAGAGGTTAGGTGAATAACCACACTTGGGTCCTGTATGCGAATCTTACAAACACAGCATACATCCATGACCTGAGTTGTTAGTCTTGGCCAATGAAGCCTGGTGACCAATTTGACTGAGAGTGCGGACATTGAAGGCTTCGATGTGTAATTTGGAGCGTGTTTCAAGGAGACCAGTGATGCTGTTCTGTGGATTCAGATCGTTGTCGAAGGCTGCAGAGGTAGGAGAAATGAAGATGATGTAGTATCGTTAATTGGGAGACGTGTAGGAATATTAGAAGGTAATGATGCGTGAGGTGGACAACAATTTGGGGAAACTTGAGTGCTGACAGTATTGTGAGGGCGGTTGACACTTTCCGGCTGCTCACATCGTGGGAGCCTTTTTAAGGTACCTGAAAGAGATTTATGTGACTGTAGAGCCCACCGGACATCTGCTTGGAGCCTGTCACACGCAGCATTTTGTGTATGACTGTTTTGAACTTTTGTTGTTTTCGGGCCGAATGGTCGAAAAGGGGAACACCTTACTGCTGTCACACCCCTTCCAGCTAGCAGCAGTACTTTGCCCTGAGACCCCCATCATAGTATAGTAATTTACATCACAACGGTAACTGCTTTTCGTCTAACCACTATCCAGCATACCTTTCTGGTATGGTAGGACCTCGAGGGAACAAGTGTTCCACAAGCATAGCTCGTTAGATCATTGTGATATGCACACCCGACTACCACGTCAACGTAGCAGCTTTCGGTCAGGGTGTTATAAGACCACCGAATAAGACGTATTCACGTTTAATAAACGTCGTACAAACACTTCTATAAGAAATAAATAACGCTCATTTGCACTAACTACGTTTTGAATCTACCCTTAGATTGAACTGCTGCAACTTTCTCAGACAGAACCCAGCTGTTTCATGCTGCAGTTCAGTCAACTCCAGCTTGCGAAGTAAATATTTGCATGCTACATTGAAACAGGTTTGTTCACGTATGACAAATCCAATTCCATATTCATGAAGTCCTTTAGGACAGCACCCTAAAACACCACTTCTATTCTATGCCTAACATCAACAACACCTGTGACCTTCGGACCAATGAGTCGCTAGCTCGAGCCCCGCTCCACCTGCGGAGGTTTGCACAGCCAGGTAGTAAAATTAGCCCTCATGCAATAAGTGTGGTTCATTGCCTACTGCACAAACGTGCACAAGGCTGCTGGCAGCATTTCGACATCACAATCACTTACTCTATGGTTTCACTAAATGCTATCAGCGCTGTGGATAAACTTATGCACACTGCAACAATTTCACACAACTGCACAATATTTTTTTTATTTTACAAACTATGTTAGAGGAGATGAAAAAACCCAGTTGGATCAAGGTCTACTGGATGAAAAAGATATCCAGAAGTGAAATCACTATTTGCTTCCTAAATTATATAAAATTACATATATTCATCTTTCTGATCTGGAAAAGGTCATCTTGAAATAATCAGGTTCAATTTTATACACGGAGATCAGAATCATAGTGACTGTGAATGCTTGACCAACCGTACGTAGCACTAGTAAGCGCTTGAGTTTTGCACCTTCGGCGAAGAATGATCGACCAAGCACACCTCCAGTGAAAACAAAGCCTGTAACAAATCATAGCGAAAGTCTTTTTTATGCGTTACCTACTATAATTAAAGGGTTCGCCTTAATCATCAACTTTAACCGTTCTAATCCTACGGGTTTTTTCTTTTGCACAGCGACTGAAGGATTATCCATACTGTGGAAGTCAGTTGTGTGGCGACCTTATAACAATGATGTTACGAGCAAACAGGACCTAAAATATATAAAACAAATACACAGTCACAAATTTACAGTAAATACATATAACCTTGTTTAATTCGAAAAGTGCATCCATCTGAGGAGAAAGTGGTTTCGTCAATGCTACTGAACCGCGGATACTCGGACGATACGAAACTAACTTAAAGAAAGATATTATTATCATCACGGTATTTCATTCTTCCTTTAGGTGTACACACCTGAAATCGCCACCAATAAGAACAAATGGTATTTTCACACTGATGAGTACTATATAACGGACCAGTAAAAACAACGAATAATCTGGGACACAAATGAACTGATTCAAATTATCCAGCTGGGGAACAGCACAAATATAGAGTTAACATAAAGAAAGATGAATAAATCAGAAAGCAACTGCGAGATGATGAGTGGCGAAATACTTTAGTTATAAGTCAAATATTTAAAGCGAGATAAGATGAGAATGTAGTTTGAACCCGGGAGAGAATTTTGAGCAACATCGCCTACAGTTTCAAACAACATTTCCTCTAATCGCTTTTATTGGTCAAAATGAATTTTCAGTCTTTCTCTACCTTTCTTACCACTCAAAAACTCCGATCCCACTAACTTATGTAATGGGGATAAACGACTGTGTCAACTAAGTGCTATTCCTAACTGATGAAATCGCTTAGCTGAAGGTGTTAAAGCTTTCAAAATCAACTTTGAGTTACTTTGGATGATGGAAGGAACTCTAGGCTTTGCTTACGTTTAGGACAGGCATTAAGCGGTAATAATGAAAAGCCAGTCGGAATGACAAGGGAAAATCCATACTTCGTAGTTCTATGGATTTTAAGCATGTTATGTTACCTTTTTTTATAAAGTTAACTCATTTCTTTGAACTTAGTCCTTTACTATTTGTCCTACAACTCTTCTTTCGTATTTCCCCTTGTTTCTGGGATGATGTTACATGTGGTAACTCTTGCCAATATAGAGTTGTACCAGGTCTTTTGTTTTATTTCTATAAAATTGAACTTTGAAGAGTAAAAAAGCTCGGGCAGTCCAGGTCATGAAATGTACCTCATATTATTAAGAGAGGCACACACGACCGGTGTGATTATCCGAGTGATTTCTATTACATATTGAAAATTATTACTGTATATGCCTTTATACTGAGTCAGCAATTCTAGTGGATGTATGAAAAAGGCAGTTTGTTAATCCTGAAGCAAGAAAACACCCATTGTGACTAGTGGATACTAAAGCCAGCTTCAACTATAGATCACCAATCCCACTGGTTGGCAAACTATTTAGGATTCAGCAGTTATGTGCAATTCATTTTCTTTGGTTTATATTACAGGTATTACGACTTTATAAAGAAAAAAGTTCCGAGTAGTAAGCATAGACGAAATAAGTTAACCAGTTTTTGGAAGCAATGACTCCTCAATCATGCAATGCATAACTAAGGATCTGCAACAGTTAAACTAGGCAATTTTTAATCCTAACAAACGTTAGGTACTCACTACTAGATACTGCAGCAAGTAAATGCCGAAGCTTTAAAGATGGTATTCAACTCCGTTGATAGCGATGTCTGGTGATAATGTTGGGAATTGTAACGAGCCCCAAAATTGTAAGGTGCTACTAAAAATCTCTGCTTCGACCTCCGAATCAACATAACATTTAGTAGAGTTGCCGTATGACGTGATAAGCCGTAGTTTCTGAAAGTTATGCACATAACAACTGTTCAGGTGTACCTCTGAGTCGACCTACTCGAATATACTTTCGTTGACCGAATACATCAAACTTAGAGGCTTTCGGACATCTTGAAAAACATTTACACACGTTATATGCACGGCAATGTTTCAGAACTTCAACTTAGCGACAAGTGGAATGGATACGAGTGTTGATCACTCCAGTTATTAAGATTGTATCACATCTAAGCAGCTGACGATATACTGACCTACGTTGGATATGTTTCTTTAACTATTTCTAACCAAAAGGCTCATAATATATTCGAATATGTATTTAAAAAATAGACGGCTTTAAACTATCATGTTTATTTCACCAGTGCTAAACATAATCAGCTAGCAAGAATTTACTTGAAACTACTACTAGTGTTTGCTGCATAGGGGCGGTCGTAGACAATTCAGAACTGCCTTCTTGTGGTTTCTATAAGCATTCGAAATCCAACTATGAACTACTTCTCACTCTTTTCGCTTCCCATAACTTCTTGATACCAGCATCAAGATCTTTATAGTCCTCTTAACCATTATTAACAACCGAAGTCAGCATATTGTGGCTCCTAGTTTCTTAAAACCGCGCTACCGATTCCCAACCACAGCTTCCAAACTCCAAAATAAGTGTACTTCAGATGGATTTCGGTCTCCTAATACAAAATCGTTGGCCAGGCGATCTGCAACAGTATAATAATTCTTAACAAAAGAAAAAGTTGGAGAATAGAAAAATGTTTGAGAATGTGCCAAAAAGTTAGGAAATGAGCCTCAAAATCTATCCAAGAAGCACCAAAAGCCAGTGTTTTCGGCTCCAGCAGTTTTGTATTTGGTAGGTGAGGTAAGTTTCAAATTGATGTAAGCAAGAGCAATAGCCACCTATAACAAACATAAATAAAGTTCATGATTCCATGGGAACATCACCAGCAATATTTCTGCATTCCATATTTTTCTGAAGTAGGTAGCAGTGTTTCCGCATCTGTTAGACTGGGAATGCGAACAAATGTGAAAGTCCCACTCTAAAGCAAATGTCTCGGCGCTACCAGCATAATACATCCACTTGACTCCCTAAAATATTGCAGGTATATTTGCACACTATTTGCTATAGCATACTACAAAAATCATTTTTCACCATTAAATCACCGAATAGTCATATGCACAAATGAACGGCAATCATTTGCACGAGCAAAGAGACAACTAACTTATACGGGCCCCTAATGTGCGGAAGTGTAACGTAACTAACAATAGACGCGCTTTCTGTTTCTTCAAATCTAGCTCTAATAGTTCCAAAGTTGGCTACTGATAGCTTTACAATCCAGGCATCCAGTTGGTGAGGTTTGATGCTAACTGCTCGATTGTGCTGTCATAGTGAGTATGCGAATCTTTTTGTGTCTTGCTTACAGTTTTGGTGAAATTTTTTTGCCTACCGGGAAAGCAAAGAGAAGGGAGAAAAGGTTCACAGTTATTTCCTAAGGTTCTGTAAAACTTGATTATGCACCTCCTCTGTCCTCTGTATTTCATAAGCGCGAAGAATCATAGGATATTTCCTGATATTCAACAGTTCATTTATATAGAGGTGAAATATTTAGAGGCTCGGAGGTATGCCAGGTAACATTCCACTGTGTGCTGAATTCCAGTGGGAGGGTTAGGAATTGATCCATATTGTTTGCTTCCCAACAAAAAGAGCCGTATTATCCCTGCAAGTAGATTCTCTTGAGCACTCGGGCTTTGTGAGCTGCCAAAAGGGATGTGCCTTGTCATACGTTTTTGAAAATGACACCAACATGCATCCTACAATCTGTTAACCCATTCCAACTTCCTCAGACTGTCAGGCGGTTTTTCAAGCAAGAGTAACTTCTTCGACGTCTGTTCTTTGAAAGCGACGACAGGGTGTTACTCTGTAGGGCGGCCATAATGCTTTTTTTACTCTGTCTGAGGCTTTTAGTGCAGTACTAGCACCGAGGCAACCTTAAAAACAAATATTCAGGCCATATAGAAGGATTCGTACAAGAGTCTATGTACCAGCAGAGTTTAATCAGTTTGATCCAGAACAGCAACGTAGAATTGCAAGTCTCAACAAAGTAATAGTACCAGTTATGCATATCTGTCTGTAATTTGATATCCCGCATAGAAGGTAGTCTGTAGATGGGTGTAAATATCACATCATTCCAGAGGAAGGAAGTCATGATGAGTTCCGTTGTTAGGAGGAAGTCATGAGAAGAAAATCATTTGAAACGAGAAGGTAAAGTGAGAGGATAAATTGAGGACAGTAGTGGGATCATGGAGAGTGATTGGAGTCGTCAGTACTCCTGGTACGTTGCCGACCAACCGGGCAAACCGGTACCGCCGTTTAACCTTTATCCAGATAAGCATGTTGACCGAATTGTAAATGTGTTCCTCCGCGGGACATTTGATGGGTCACATATTCTTAGAGAAAGGTCTCCCTTCAGACTTGTTTTGGCCCTGTGACATGCTATACTGAGAGGATCCTCTCGTGGTAACTGTCAATTTTCAGGAAGAGTTAGTTTGTTTGGGTGATTCGCCTAGTGGGTGATTTTAAAGTCACGAGAAATTCTCCCCCTTCTCTGCGTTGGCACAATGTAAATAGATTTAAGTGCCCCATTCTTTCATGATGCCTTCTGCTCCGCAGCCTGACAGCTGATTTTGTAGTGGATCTCTGTGCTTTCTGAAGAAGTCTGGAGTCCTTACTGAGCCCCACAAATACTAAAGTAGTACGTGCCACCATATGCAGCCTCACATGCCCTCGGAAAACTGTTGAGAAGAGTCCTGTCATGCGGGTACTGAGCTGCCTACCCAGAAAAAAAGAATCCCATCCGCTTTTGTTACCGCTCTTTACTGATTGAAACCAGCGAACAGGGTATTGGAGTGGTTGGGGCCGAGGCACTTTTCATTGAACTCTGGTGGTAGTATGGTTTCTCAACCTGTAATCACGTTTGGCTGTCTTTGTTTCAACGGTTCTGGTGTACGCCGCCCCTCAAATTTCCGAGTCAGGGCCCAAGTGGTTCACTCATGACCGAAATTCTTGTTGATGTAGCTTGTTCTGGTGCACTCTGCAGTTGGCCCCCCTGTCTGCCATTCTCCAAAGTGTTTGTGTCTAAATTCTCGCTGAGAAATCGTTAACGAACAATGGAGACATGAGTGATGGTGGTGGATTGTCCCTAGGACACCTCAAATGATGATGATCCAAACTTGGGCCGTATTCAGTTCACTTTGGTGTAGAAGTGTCGGGCTTTTGAA